CCCGTGGAGGTTCCGGATATGTCAAGAGACTATGGCTATGTGATTTAAAGTTTAAGTTTTGTTTTATTGTTTGGTTAAACAAGTCTTGTGTATTTTGTAAATAGAGCTAAGCCTTTGGTAATCCCAGGATTACTGGTCGGTTACGATGCTAAACCTATGGGGTGGGTTTGGGTCGTAACAAGTTTGACTTGTCTGCAAAAGTACTGGAAGTTGTGATTTTACGCTCGAGCAAACTTTCCTGCGCTCGAGCGAGGTCCGCTTAAGCGGCCATTCCTACGCTCGAGCGGAGATCGCAGATCAATTTTCTATAAATATTTGGTTTTATCTACTTTTAGGGTTACAATTTTCAGATCTTCTTCTTGGATATTAGGGTTTATATCTAGAGTTTCTTTGATGTTTGTTTGAGTTTGACTCATGGTTTGAAAAGTATACATCAAAGGATTGTTTGTTTTTTTCAATACAAAAGAGAGTGTTATTCTTTGGTAGATTCCGTGGAATTCGGGCCTGAAGGTTTGGTGGATTCTAAAGTGGCTCATCATCGTGATTCGATATCGGTGTTGTGGATTCAACGTTGGGCAAGACAATTCCGAGGTGAAGACAGTGGTGAAAAAGGCACATAGGGGTCGGTTCAATTCAGGAGTGGATTCGCTAGGTAATTGAGAGTACACTTGTGTAATTCCTTTATGTCTTTTTAGTGGATTATTTTGTGACTTTTGCCTATGATTTTTTTATCACAATTGGAGGTGCTCCAATTGTGATTTTTTCACGTTAAATCGTTATGTTGATTTGTCTTTGATTGTTTGATTGTGATTGCTATTTACTCATTAAAATTGATACATAATCACAAATCAATATCTAGGAAATTTCTAAATTTTTTCAAAATTGAACCTAGAATTCGGCTTAGATCGACCTTGTGCTGCTGCATTGAGAGCTACTTTTATCATGTGAGTAAATTCCAAATCTATTACTCACATTAAAAAATTCTTTATTTTCATCTCTAATATTGAAATTTTTTTCTCGCAGTTTATTATGAATTTCTTAAATTATTCAAGACAATTATACAATAAAGGATCATGTTTTCATTTTATTTTTTGTAAATATTTTTCTCTAATTATTTTTTTTTTTTTTGGAAAAATATCAATGTAAGTTTTGAAAAATAATTACATATTAGTGATAAAATTTATAGGCATGAAAACATTTATAAATTTCTCCATGAATGTGTAAATATTTTTTGAAAGCACCATAGACGTGTAATTTCCCCAACTTTTTTTTCTATTAATACTTTTTGAAACAAAGAATTCCCTCATCCTAAATTATACCAAGATCATTTCAACTATTAGCAAACATTATATTGTCCTACTCATTAATGAACTCGTACTTATTGATCCCTGAACTATAAAAAAATAAACAAATGCTTTCCTTTTAAAACTAATCTAAAGGGATAAAAACGATACATTATTATAATTGAGTGATCAAAATGTTAATAATTGAAATGCCATTTATAGTATTGAACCCCAAAGGTAACAGGTATCAAATTCACAGATCCGTTAAGGTATATCTCTCAAGCTATTGGCCTGGTGGTTAAGCCTTGGAACTTGAAGGTGTGCTCTATCTAAGGTTTCATATTTGAAAATTTTCTTAAGTGCAAAATCTTGAGATCAATCCATAGAGGCCCTTGACTTAAATTGAGATCCCTGCAAGTAGCAAGTAAGATTGGTTCTCCGAATTAGTATTAAAAAAAAAAATCACAATTCTATTCAAAAGAAATCAAATTCACCAAACCAAGTCTTAAGTCTCATCAAATGGGATTGGTTACATGAATCCTTCATATCCATTTGACTCTATCAACGGCCATTTGGTTAGTCAAATTAAGGAGATTCATATCTCTATTTATTACAATAGCCCACGTCAATCTAGGTCTTCCCCTTCTCCTAACATTTCCATCTACCGTCACTGTATCACATATTTTTACTACTGCCTTTGTTGTCCTCCGTTGTATATGACCAAACTATCTCAATTTATTCTCTCTCAACTTATTTTTTATCGATGCTACTTCTACCCATTCATGAATATACTCATTCCTAATTCTATCTTTTTTAGTTTTGACATACATCCATCTTAGCATCCTCATTTCAGCAACACTCATCTTATCTACATATTATTTCTTAGTTGCCCAATATTTCGTCTCATACAATATTGATGGTCTAATAGCCTTTTTATAGAACTTTCTTTTTAGTCTAATAGGTACTCGTTTATCACACAGTACTCTAAACTCACTTCTCTACTTAAACCACCATGCCTTACTTCTATGAATCACATCCGCTCTAATCTCCCCAACCGTTATGATAATAGATCCTAAATAACGAAAATAGTCACTCTTGATTCACAATCTTCACTTGTCCTCTCTTCTATTGTTATTGTTACCAAAAATACACTCCATGTATTCTGTCTTAGTTCTACTTATCCTAAATCTTTTAGATTCAAGTGTTTCTCTTCACGTCTCCAACTTAGGGTTAACTCATTCTCTAGTCTCATCTACTAATATGAATACAATATCGTTTGCAAAAAGCATACACCATGGCACATCATCCTGAATATTCTTCGTCAACTTATCTATAACTGAAGCAAAAAGATAAGGACTTAAGATTGATCCTTGGTGTAACTCCACAATAATTGAAAATTCACTTGTCTTTCTAGCAGGTGATCTAATAGTGGTCACCACACCTTCATACATATCCCTAATCACATCAGTGTACCCTTTTATCACTCATTTCTTATCTAACACCCAGCAGATTATATCCCAAGACACTCTATCGTATGCTTTCTCAAGATCGATAAAAATCATATGAATATCTCTTTTCTTTTCTCTATACTTTTCTATCACTATCCTCAAAAGATAGATCGCTTCCATTGTTGACGTACCCGACATAAATCGAAATTAATTCTTTGACACCTTTGTTATATCTCGCAATCGACGTTCTATCACTCCCTCCAACACTTTCATTATATGACACATCAGCTTGATTTATTTATAGTTGTTGCAATTCAGAACATCTCATTTATTCTTATAGATTGGCACTAAAATACTCTTCCTCTACTCATCTTGCATTTTTCTGTAGTTAACAAAATCTTGCTAAATAACCCAGTCAACCAAATAACCCCATTTTTACCTAAACATTTCCAAGTTTCAATAGGAATATCATTGGGTTATAAAGCTTTATTTGATTTTATCTTCTTAAGTGCAATAGCTACTTCAAAGTTATTAACCATACGATAGAACTTGTAGTCTTGATTTTCCTCATTACTGGCTACTTTTTCCCTTTTTGACCTGCTTCCATATTCCTCACTTAACAACTTCTCAAAATAGTTCTTATACCTCTTCTTAATCTCTTCATCATTCACCAACACCTTAGAGTCCTTGCACTTGATACACTAAACCTGATTAAAATCTCTTATTTTACTCTCTTTCATCTGAGCAAGTTTATATATTCTTTTCTCTTCATCCTTACTATTTAATCTAGTGTATAAGTCATCATAGGCTTTCAACTTAGCATCTCTCACTATTTTTTTGACTTCTTTATTAGCCAATCTGCAACTCTTAAAAAATTTCTCAATTCTATCATTCTATCACTTTTTAAAGCACTCTTTTTTCGTCTTTAGCACCGCTTAAACCTCCTCCTTCCACCACCAAGTTTCCTTAGGGATAAATTACAAATAAAGTACAGATTGCCCCCTACGGTTTAGAAAATTACAAATACCTCTTTGTTAGTATTTTTTATTTAACAAAATTAACTAAAAAAATGAAATTCATAATTGTTCTCCTATACAATAATAAAATTACCTAAATTATTAATTAAAAACATATTTCTAATAGTATTAAAAACTGTTAATTGACTTGATTATTTATTAAAAAAGGGACGATTTGTTATTAAATTAGAAATCTCAGGGGTGAAACGTAATTTTCAAAATGACAGGGGACGATTCGTATTTTAATCAAATCTTAGGTGGTGTATTTGTAATTTACCGCTAAATAATTTTGCGGCTTAAACTATTGATTAAGAATTCAAATTCGGCAGAAATTTGGGAGTATGTTTAGCCTCCGTTTGGGAAGTGGGTTGGCTTTTTGACTTTTTGGCTTTTTTTGGCTATTTTAGCCTGGGCTAAAAAGCTTGGTTTGGGAAGGGCTTTTTGTCTTTTTTGACTTTTTTTGTGAGAGAAGAGTGTAATAATTATGGGTTGGATGTGATGTTTTGTTTGTTGTGGCTAAAATAGCCTATTTTGTGTTTTGTGGCTATTTTAGTCTCAACCTTCCTTGCCAAGGTTGTTTTTAAATTTTAAAATGCTATAAACTTCAGTTTAAAACATATGTGTTGAGCAGTAGTGGCTGTGCCAATAATACCAAATTATTATGTCGTTTGGTATATGAATTCTTTCGGCTAGAAAGACTGTCATCAACTTTAAATTAATTATTTTGATCATAAAACACATTTGTCAATCCTTACTCTTTCCGTCTGGTTGCATTATAAAGGTATCTATTTGACTTTGTATTTAATTATTTGGGACACAGATAGCTGGTATTATGTCTCCCTCCAATCTCTATTATGTATACTTTTTTTTATAATTTAATTTATGTGTCCTACCAATCTATATATAAAAAAAAAAAATTTATGTGTCCAATCTTGAGTTCATAATAATAATTTGAACCGTTCAATTATCAGATTGTGTAAAAAAATAATTTATATATCATATTAGATAGATATGTGTGCTTGTGTATATGGTATAATAAATTTTATTCTTTTTTTTAGCCTTCTAATGATGAAATTCTGATTCCGTTTCTATATATACATTATCAAAATACCTTAAAATTGATGAGAAATAATGGAATATTGAAGAACTTTGGCAACGAGAGAACTGCCAAAAAAAAGTGATTTTTATCTAACATTTTAGTTTGTTGGCTTTTAAGCTACCCTAAATATTATTTGCCGTAACAGAATAACCGATGCGAAACAAAACAAAGATTTAATTAGTGTGCATTTTCTTTAAAAGGAGGATTTACATAAATTAAGTATATAGTTAGTAAAACAAAAAAAAGTATATTAATTAAATGAATGAATGAATGAATCTCAGGGTTCTGATTCTGAAGGAGGTTCTTTATTATAATTCCATTCATGCCCTTTCCATTCAGGCAATTGTTGGATTACAACCTGCAGAACAAAAACAATAATTATATTTAAAATAAAATAAAAATAATTATAATAATATCCAGTGAAATTTTTGAAAATCATTTTTCCTTAGAAAATAAATAAGATACACTTTAGACTAAAGTTTTAAAATCAAATAATTCATTAAAAATGGAAGAGGATGGACTACAAACCAAGCCTCTCGAATCTGGTTTTCCAACTGTAGTCTGACAAGCAAGCCTCCAATTTTTTGGATTCTGCAATTAGTTGTGTACAATTAGCACAAACATTAGACACGTTTTTTGCCGAACCAAGTAAACTAACACAAACATCACAGACTCGCACAATTAAAGGTTTTTTTTATTTTATATATTTTTAGTGGTATATTTAGATGACTGCAAATGATCTGTTAAATACCCTTTTAAGTTTTTCCTTCTCTTTGTCTGTTCGAGGGTTTAGTAGCTCCTTCCCTTCAACGACCTAACAAAGACAAAAAAGGAAAAAATCTTTAGAATATTAAAAATAAAAAACCATCACAAACACAAGTGATGCAGAAAAATCAATGTGTGTTTCAAATTCATTCTACTTTGCAACACATTTACTTTTTTGTGCTATTTTTTTTTAAGAATTATGATTAGGACTCTGCTTGGTTAGTAATAATAAATTCGAAATCAATAACTCACCTCTACAATGCATGTCCCACAAGTTCCTCCTCCCCCACAATTTAGCAGAGGTCTGGACTGAAAATTCAAAACACATAAACCATATTTCAGCTATTCATTAGCTCGAATACTGCACTTTCAGTGTATCACTTTGAATAAATTGACAAGCAAAATTGATATAATGAACTACAAAGACAAAATTGACACAAGAGGCAAATTATAGGAACAATGGGTCTAATTAATCATTTTTATTTCACTTATAAAACAAAACAATTGAGCCTTTCTTCACTTTCAATACTTCTTAATGTAGTTGCAAAATGTGAAAAGAGAGAGGGGGGCCTTACTTACATATGGTCCATACAATTCAATATTAGAATCCAACATAATGTCCCTAAGTTTCTGCCCACCACAAGCTACTCGAAAATGAACATCTGGTGTTCCATCAGGAAGCAACACAGACTTCAAAAAACACAAAACTCATTAGCAAACTTCCATTGCACACCTACATAGCACATAAATTAATAGTTCCTCAAAAAAAGAAATTACATGTAGATACTAGAATTAAAAATGCAACACATGAACTTACACTGACAAATGCAAAATTTACAGCAGGTGGTTCCTCAGACGGTGCAGCTTCTGATTCGCTATCTGGGATTGTCCCAACAGCTCTGATTCTTCCTCTAGAGAAGCCGGTGAGGCGTTTAGAGGCTTTGATTGATTTGGGAGTGTTTGTGGTGAAGTTGTGAGGGAGTGTGAGAGAGGCTAAGCCATAAGGGTTGAGTTGAAGTATTCCCATTGTCCTCAATGTTTGATATTTTTGAGTAAAAGACGTATTGATTTGCTTGGATATTTAGATGAGTGTGTTTTTGTATTGGATGGTGTGTGGCTCTCATTCATCTTATCTAATGAGGTGTGGAGTGGCAGTGTGTTTTCTATTGTATCTAACTGGTGAAAACATACATATATATACATTTGGATTTGAAACTGTTTTTACTAAAGTTACGATCACTGATTCACAAAAATTAAAAAAGAAAATTTTTACCAAGTTATGATCTGTGAGAGAATTAAAATTAAAAACGCTAGAAGAAGGGCTTGAACCTTCGACCTTGTGGTTAACAGCCACACGCTCTAGCCAACTGAGCTATTCCAGCACTTTATAATTAGTTGATCAAAATTAATATTTTTAATGTTTAGTTATCCTAAACGAATTCCACACTACGATTTAAAGAAAGTCTTATTGTTATTATTATATATATATATTTTAATTCTTTTGCCTAAGATAGTGCTTAATATGTCAGTAGTTATATTACAACATAAGTCAATATCTCTTTATAAACTTAACTTAAAACTTCACTCACCTTCGCAACTCTCTATGACAATTTAGGCAATTTCTCATTTATCTAATCACAAGAAATATGATTGGAACATAACCAACTGCTTAACATTGATCTAAATCCTGATTTTTTATTTGTTTTTCATAACGTATGACTTGCTTCAATTTTAAAATACTTTGCACTAATACAAATTGAACAGATTAAAAATATTATATTTAAATACTCTTATATTGAGTATTTAAATATATTTGTAAAAAAAATTATGGAGTGAGGTATTTATAGAACAACTTTCACCATTTTCTTTCATTTATTCTTAATGTGATATTCTACAAATTTTCATAATTTTTTTTGAGTATTTAAATTTCATGTGAATCATTCCTTTTCACCAAACCGACAGATCAAACTATATATAGCATGTAGTTTGTTTTGGTTTCTCAACTAACAAAATTAAAAGATTTAGTTTAGTGCTAAATTTTCTTTCAACCCCGATTAGATAGAACAGCTTACACTCTTACTGATGCTTTTAAAAAAATCAGAAAAAATAAATAAATAAATTACATTGATCTTTTATGAGATTTGAAAAAAATATAATAAATTTTACAAGTTTCAAGCTCCTTTAATATTATTGAGCGTAACTCTATTTGTATCAATAATTTGTCAGTCATATAGATAGAAAAATAATATTGATATATCTTTTATACTAGGATAAATTACAAATACACTCTCTGAGATTTGATTAAAATACAAATCGTCCCTTATAGTTTTAAAAATTACATTCCACCTCCTGAGATTTCTAATTTCATAATAAATCATCAAGTCAATTAACAATTTGGGTAAATTACACTAACACCCCCTGAGGTTTCTGTTTAATATAAATCCCTCCACTCGTTTGAAAAATTACACATATCCATTTGTCAGATTAAAATGATATATTTGCCACTTAGCCTTTCTACATATAAAATAATAAAATAATGATAATATTTTCATGTCATTTCAAAAGAAATAATAATCATCTTATTTGATTTAACTCACACAAAAAATTAAATTTCTTTATTTTTTGTTTTTTTTTTTATTTTTACTGATTTTTTTTAATATTTTAAGTATTTTTTTTTAGATACAGTTAATCTAGATATACTTAAGAAGTATAATATTTTATATTTTTTTTTTTACATTCACCAAATACAAAAAAATACAAAAATTCAGTAATATTGTAATAAATGTGAATGGCGCTGTTTGCTAATACTGTAATAAATTGAATAGACGAGAGAGAAAAATGATGGTGGAAATAAAAATAAAAATTTTATTCATATATAAAAATTTATACAAAAAATATCATAAAAATATTGTCATAGTGATGTTGTTGTGAATATAATCATGTTTATGGGTATTTTGTTTTAAAGTAAAAGGTCACCATTAAGCTATATCATTGTGTTTGAAAATTTTATATAAAATTTATATTTGTATATCATCACTCAATAAAAATATATTCAGGTAGAATATATGATAAAAAGTTGTACAATGTAGTCATGATAATAAAGAGAAGAAATGGTAGAAAAAATGACAAAATGGCCATTTAGCAAATTTTTAAGCATGACATCAGCTATCCAGGGGCAATTTATAATGATATTACAAATCTCAGTAAAGGGAATGTAATTTTTCAAATGTAAATGTGACAATCACCTCCTTAATTAAGCAAATTAATTATACTCAATATATGCTTATTGTTAATTATGTGCTTATGTGTTATGCAGTGTAATTAATTTGCCATGTGATTAATTGAATTGTGTTATTGTGGACAAATAGGTTAGAGTGAAAATTAAACCTGCCTTATTCATTAATTTTAACAAGTTAGAATTAAGTAATTGGATAGGAAATAGAGCCTAATTCACATTGGTATAATTTAATTTAGTGTAGTTAGGATTATAAGATGATGAGATTAATTTAATTTGAGTTAACTGAATATAATTTAACCTGGGAAATGAATTATTATTATCTATCTAATAGGAAACAAAATGAAGTAATGGATTTTGGTGAACTTTAAAGAGACCTACCGCCCCGCCGGGAGGGGGGAGGGGGAGAGAGAGAGAGTGTGTTGAGTTCAAAAAGGAAGAAGAAAAGTAGGAGGTTGAGCTACATTTCAACAAATTACCAGATTAAGGTAAATTTCATCTCAAAATTCATGAAATTGAAATGATACGCTCCTAATTCCTTAGCATTTAAGTTCAATATGTAGGATTTATGAGTAATTAGGAGTTATTGGAGAAGAAACAAAGTTGAGAATCCTTATATGAGCATAAAAGTGGAAAATGAAGACCCAAACAAGAGTAGATTTTCGGAGTCAAGCAGACCCAACACCGCACGTGCGGCTTGGGGCCCCGGATGTGCAGAAAAGAGGGCAGCCAAGGCAAGCATTTTGCTTAAATTGCACATGCGGGGAAGGCTCCACACGTGTGGCCAGAACTCTCGCACATGCAGAAGTCAGGTTGGTCCGGGTTTCGTTTCCACTCCTCTTTTCCTCCTTCCGGGCCTCCGTTTGCATGGTTTTAAAATGTTTTCATGTGCATTGCATCTCATGAACACGAATAAAGTATAGAACAAGAGTTAGAACCAAATGAGTGAACAATGAATGGAAACTGATCGAAAGAACCGATTGAATGAATGAATTGTGTATTGAATCGTTGTGCTTGAATTTGTTTGTTTAAGTCGGAGGCCGCATCTTTAGTGCATTTTAACACGTGTTTCAAGGAGCCCACTGTGAGTAACAATGTTGTAGAGTTATGTTCAATTATAATTATTTTCTGATCAATTAAATGTACTGTCTTCCAAAATGATACTATTTCTTGAATGAATGATTGTCCTATTTTGTAAACTATACTTGTGGCATCCATAGCAATTGTTATTGCTACTGTTACTATTATTGCTACTGTTACTGTTACAGAGATCTTTGTCAGTTCCAATCTTTGGAACTAATGTTACTGTATTGATGGCGATCAACTGACTATTCGGTCTTTAATACCTATTGTACTGTTTTGCTATGGAATGTACCACATATGACTGTAATGATTTCATATGACACTGAAATATATAAATACTGCTTATTGAACTGATTCATTACTGAAATTGACTGTTTGGAATTGTTATAAGGACATCATTCATAAACCCTTTACACATTTGTTATTCATTAGATTTTAGCTCACCGTTTATATCTATATGTATGTAGGTGATCAGGCACTGGATCGGACTTAGCGGCACTGACCTGAACCTCCGTTTTGTCAAGCCAACTACCGTGCCCTAGTGCAAGGTTCTGAATCGACATGTGTTAAGGCTTTGGGTAATCTAAATCATTTTGAATGTTTGTATGAAATCAAGTGAATGTTTTATAATTTGTTTTGGATTTGGGATTTAATTCCCTAATATGTCTTTTATTTTGTACTTAGATGTGTTTTGGACTTAAGTGTGTATATATATATAAATAAATTGTTTGTTTATTTAAGTCCTCACAGTTCGATTTATTATAATATTTATTGCTTCCGCTAGTCCCTATTATTAAACTACTGTTAATACTATTAAGTAGGCCTTTGGTAATCACAGATTATTGGCCAGTTATGATACTAAACCCATAAAGACGGGTTTGGATCGTGACAGTAAGGGGATAATTTATATTAAACAAAAATCTCAGGAGGTGTCAGTGTAATTTACCCTAACATTTTTTAATGATGTTAGAAATATGTTTCAATTAATAATTTAAGTAATTTTATTAATGTATAGGAGAACAATTATAAATTTTATTTTTTTAGTTAATTCTATTATATAAAAAATTCTGACAAGGAAATATTTGTAATTTTTCAAATCACAGGGAATAATCCATACTTTAAACAAATCTCCAATGGTGTATTTGTAATTTATACTTTACACTAAAACATATATTTTATCTTATTTATTTTTATGTTTGTATCATTGGCATTATAACCTTAGCACCCGTTTGGCATAGCAAGTTTTGGGGTTAAAACGCTATTTTAGCCACAAAATAATAAAATAAGTCAAAAAGTTAATAAAATAAAATGTCTTATCTAAACCATAATCATTTCATTTTTTCTCTCACAAAAATAAAAAAACTAACACACATTCCAAACGAACCCTTAATAAAAAGAAGATTGACATATTTATAATAAAATTATAAAATTTATTATATTTTTTTCAAACTTATAAAACAGATTAATTAAATAAATTATTATTTTTGAACGGTATTAAGTAAAGAGAAAATTAGTCTAAGGTCCCTCTCCCATTTTTAATAATGGAAGAGATCCACAATATTATTTTATAATGTCTAAGGTCCTTCAACCCCACACAGAGAAATTTGACTTCTCTCTCTACTAACTGCTCCATTACCGAATCTTACTCTATCTCCCTCGTCTCTCGAGCAAAACCTCCTTGGTGAACAAGATCAGAACTTGTGATGCAACTTGAATATTGATTAAGGTCCAACAGTGCAAGGCGGCCGCTCTCGACGACGTCGGCAGCAGCGACGGTGGTGGAGAAGGCGAAGTTGATGACGATGAGGGTTTGCTCAT